CGGGCTTCACATTGCGGTGGCTTCTCATTGTGGAGCATGGGCTCTAGGCACACAGACTTCAGTAGTTGTGGCATGCGGGCTCAGTAGCTGTGGCTTGCGGGCTCTAGAGCGCAGGCTCAGTAGTTGTGGTGCACAGGCTTAGTTGCTCTGTGACCTGTGGGATATTCCCAGACCAGGGCTCAAACCTGTGTCCCCTGCATTGGCAGGAGGATTCTTAACCACTGCACCACCAGGGAAGTCCCGGTTTTCACTTTCTTGATGGTGTCCTTTGAAGCACAAAAGTTACGAAGGTTTATGCCTATGTTTTTTCCTAAGAGTTTTATAGTTTTAGCTCTTATATTTAAGTCTTTGATCCATTTTGAATTAATTTTGTGTATGGTGTGAGGTAGAGGTCCAGCTTCATTCTTTTGCATGCAAATAATGCATTTGTCCCAAGCCCATTTGTTAAAAAGCCTATTCTTTCCCCATTGAATGGTCTTAACACTCTTGTTGAAAATCAATTGACTGTAAGTCCACAGGTTTATTTCTGGACTCTCGTCGATTCTGTTCCATCAATCTATGTGTCCATCCTTATGCCAGTAGCACAGTTTTCATTATTGTAGTTTTGTAATAAGTTTTGAAAGTGGAAAGTGTGAGTCTTCCAATTTTGCTTTTTTCCCAAGATTGCTTAGCTATTCTGGGTCTTTGACATTTCCGTATGAATTTTAGAATCAGCTTGTCAATTTCTGCAAGAAAGATGGCAAAGATTTTAACAGGGATTACACTGAATCTGTAGATCAGTTTATAGAAGATTGCATCTTAACAATATTAAATCTTCCAATCTATGAACACAGTATGTCTTTCCATTTATTTAGATCTTTAATTTCTTTAAACAATGTTTTGTAGTTTTCAGTGTACAGGTCTTGCACTTCTTTTATTAAATTTATTCCTAAGTATTTGAGGTTTTGCTGTTTTAAATGGAATTCTTAATTTCATTTTCAGATTTTTCATTGCAGTTGTATAAAAATACAGCTGATTTTGGGAATTCCCTGGTGGTCCAGTGGTTAGGATTTGGTGTTTCACTGCCGGGGGCCTCGGTTCAATCCCTGCTCAGGGAACTAAGATCCTGCAAGCTGCGTGGTGCAGCCAAAAAACAAAAAAACAATTGAGTTTGTATATTGATCTTTTATCCTCCACATTCAATCACAAGTTAAGTAACCTTGCTGAAATTGTTTATTTAGTTCTTATAGCCTTTTGGTGGATTCTTTAGGATTCTCTGTATACAAGGTCATGTCACCTGCAAATATAGTTTTACATTTTCTTTTCCATTCTTGGTGCTTTTTACAGGCATATCTCATTGTATTGGGTTTTGCTTTATTGCACTTGGTAGAGATTACATTTTCTACAAATTGAAGGTTGGTGGCAACCCTGCATTGAATAAGACTCTTGGCGCCAGTTTCCAACAGCATTTGCTCACTTCATGTCTCTGTGTCACATTTCGGTAATTCTCACAATATTTCAAACCCTAAACCAACAAAAAGATTACGACTCACTGAAGGCTAAGATGATGGTTAGCATTTTGTAGCAATAAAGTATCTTTAAATTAAAGTATGTACATTGTCTTTTATAGATATAATGCTATTGCACACTTAATAGACTACAGTACAGTGTAAACATAACTTTTATATGCACTGGGAAACCAAAAAATTTGTGTAACTTGCTTTGTTGCAGTGGTCTGGAACTGAGTCCGCAGTATCTCTGAGGTATGACTGTATTTCATATTCTTGCCTCATTTCCCTGGCTAGAAGCTCCAGTACAATGTAGAATAGAAGTGATGAGTGCAGACATCTTTGTCTTGTTCCTGATCTTGGGGGTAAAGCTTTCAGACTTTTCACTGATAAATATGATGCTAGCTGTGGGTTTTCATAGCTGCCTTTTATTCCGTGGATCTTTAAGGTAAACGCTGCTCTTCTCCATGTGTACCACGTTCTGTCGTGTCTCTAGGCTTTGCACTGTTTCTTCTTCCTTTCTGTCCCTGGCAAACTCAAGACTTACCCTGTAGGGTCCAATCCAAATATCTGAGAATCTTTCCTTGACTGCCTCCAATAGAGTATATCCTGTCCTCCTTAGAGCTGCTACAGCACTTTTTATATTTTTCTGCATTTTCTATATAGGATTGTAATTATTTATCTCCCAGTGTTCTGAGCTCTCGCAGGCAAGGACCATGCCCCCCAGACCTGAGGCAGCACAAGACAGTAGTGGATAATCAGTAAAAATCGGTTGCATGGTAGCCAGGCTAGATTGACTGAATGAGGAATGGGAGTGCCTTTCATATCACTTCATGTAACTTTTTTAGGTTAGAAATGTACCCCGTATATCCTTTTAATTTTCTCCTCAATAATCCATAATGGCTTTTACTTGTGAATCCAACTAAAACATTTCTAAGAACTGTTCATGCTTCGTCAGTACAATCTCTCCAAGGAAAGTAGTCATTTCCTTGTTTGCCTGTAAATGATCTCCAAGTTCCTGGGGTACCTTCTAAACTTAATATTACAGGATAAGTAATACTTTCTTTCATGGTGTTTAGAATTATTTTCTATCTGGTATGCGGTAAGAAGATTGCAGGCTCTCAGTTCTCAAGATCTGGCTACTCTAATTACCAGTCACCTCAAAAGTTACCTCTCCAAACCTCAGTCTCCCCATCTGTAAAAGCCTAAGAAATAATAACCATTTTTCATGGGGTTATTGATGACGATCCAGTGAGATCATGTGGTTGGTGAATTTTAGAGCAACTGACAAGATGCCAGTTGTAGCTACACACATTGGTCCTGTCCACCTAGACCAGGAATTGCTTGGGGATGAGGGACTGTATCTTCGTGCTCCCTTGATGCTTCTTGTATGCTCTCATTCTCTTTGCCTTTACCTCTTTGGTTGAAGTCAGAGAGACTTGCTGTCTTTCACCTACCCTCCTCCAGGAGTTGCTCTAGCTTCCTGAGTGTTTTTATTTTCTTTCCATGGACCTTTTTCCAGCGGTATGCAGGGAATGGGTTCTTTGAAATGCCTCTTTGACACCATTCCTCACAGTGTGCTTTGGACAGTGTCATTAGCATATAAGTAACTCCTTGGCTTTACCTGGGCTCTTTTATAGAGTACTTATCTACCATCCTGTTGGTTCTTACAGAAACTCTGGAGACAGCAATGAGTATGATCTCTCAGTGAGTGTTATCATTGGCAACCCAAAGCTAAAAAGTCAACACTGGAGTCAGTTTGGACCACACAGACACTGTTCTACAGAATGTGTGATGCAGAATCTCTAACTGTGAGGGAACTATGGTGGGATAACAAGAGCAGCCAGAGGCCTGGGTTTAAGTCCTCGCTCTGCCTCTTCATGGCAGTTCCTTCCATTTCTCTCATTTCCATTTCCTCAGTAGTTAGATAGGATAAAACTACTGATACCTATTACAGGCGGCTATGAAGATTAAATGAGAAGGGTTCTTATGAGTTCTCCAGTGATTATTATGGAGAGCCCAGAAGCATGGCTTAGTTCCTATAGCTTTGGGCCTGGGGCATGGACTGGCAGAGGGGAAGGAGATAGGAACACAGGTGTTGCAGGGATCTGTGGGTAACAGGGCCCCCCTTCTCTGGAAGAGGCTGGCCTCAAGACATGCTTTTCTTAAGAATTCCTCTCTCCAGGACCTCCTCACCCTTTCCTACCTCCAGGCCTTTGCTCTCCCTATGTCCTTTGAATTGAGAGCTATGTACCTGTCTCCTGGGCCCTTGCCTAAGGTCTTTCTGCCTCTCTGAGTCTCATCTCCTTCAGGAGGCAGCCTTTTGATGCTCCAAACCACTGGTCTCTCTTCCTCCTCATTAATATTACCAGTGTTAGATGGATTTTAAGCTCCTTGAAGGATGGCCCACGCCCTAAACATCCAGGATGGAACTGGTCGGTAAATCCGGCACAGGAAACATTTGTTTAAAGAATTAACAAATACAACTTTTTGAACACTTATCGTGGGTCACGTGTTGGTGTTTCAAAGTTGCGTAAGACAAAGTTCCTGTCCTCAAGGGGCTTACCATCTAGTGGGATAATTTAAGAGGCACTTACAATGTACTTTCTTGTTTAATCCTCATAGCAACCCTTGAAGGAAGCTGGAGGTTAAGAGACTTGCCCAAAGCCAGGCCAGGGCTAGTCAAAGGCAGGCCCTGGCACTGAGGTGGAAGGCCTAGTCTTCTACAGCCCCCTCCCAGGGGGGCCTAGAGACTCACTCCTCACTTCCAAGGGTAGCACGCAAAGATTGGAAGGAGTTGGGAAGCTGGCCACAGTGTGCATCCCTAGAGAGCTCCAGCTCCAGGATCCAGTTATATCCCAGCTGTCACTCCTTAACTTTGTAACCTTGGGCAAGTTACTGGGTCTCTGAGTGTCCGTTTTGTCATCTGTAAAAGAAGAATACTGTCGTGGGCATCCATTGTATTTACCTGCGCAACTCCAGTCCTACTTCTGCCAGCAGCACTCAGGTACTGCTTTCCCCTCCCCAGTTGTCAGTAATAGGGGTGGGGTGGTGTGATACACAAGCTAGCCAGTCACTTGCTCTCTTGCCTTTTCTGGCTCCTGGCCTTTTATGACTAGTTCCGCTTTTCCTTCTACTCTGTGAGCTCCGCACCACAACCTGCCCCACCAGATCCCTTTAATAAATTGCCTTTGTGTTTAAGTTCATTAGTCAGTCAGTTATTATTGCTTGCAAAAACAAGAAACTTTAATTGATCCAAACACCTACCTTGCACTGTTGTAAGGCTTAAATGATTAAACGAAGTTTGTAAAGTGCCTAGCCCAGCCCTAGCAGCATAGCAAGCAGTGAGTAAGGGGTGGTGGTAGTTGTCTGTAAGTTAACATGGTGGGGGAGTGAGAAGAGGGGGCAGGTGCAGGGAGGGGGAGGGAGATTTTTACTGGTTTGGGTTCCACTGAGAGAAACCTTCCCCCAAGAGACAGTGAGAAGGACAACAGAAGGGAGGGAAGTCCAGGCTATGGTATGCTCATTTATTCAAAATGTCTTTATTGAAACAGAATGATAGAGCAAGAAAGAATGAGGTCTGGGAGGATGTCTTTGGGCATAGGATGGAGCCCAGACCTGGTGGATACAGTGTGGAGCTCCCTCCCTGTCCCCTGACTCTTGCCAAGGAAGTGAACACAAAGCAGCAAGGAGGAGATGGGGTTGAGGGCAGCCCTCTGAGCTCTCCATGATGACTGGCGTGAGGTGCCTCTGAGGCTTCAGGGCAGCCCTGCCTTCCTCATTCAGTCCTCCCGCTCTCCTTGCCAGAGCCTTGTGCCACCTTTCTGTATGGGCCAGCCTCCTGCCAGGGTGCTCGAAGGTCGCTCAGAGGGCAGGGTTGGGGGTGGCAAGCAGTGGAACGTGGTCACAGCGGTTAGGGGGTGGCTGCCGCAGCAGGGAAGGCCGGCGGCACAGCTCCCCATCCCGGAGCACCTCAGGCAGGAGCTTGCGTTTGGTCTCCGGCAGAAGCATGATGCTGAGGATGCAGAGGAGAGCACAGGCCGCCAGCACCACGTGCTGCAGGAAAGCTCCATGGCCCATGTGGAGGCGCTGGGCTGGGCCACTCAGCCCGCCAAGTGCCCCCAGTGCCATGATCAGGCCCAGGCCTCGGCCCCTGGGAGAGACGGACAAGGCACTGAGCCCGTAGCTGTGGGCCTCACCCCAGCTTTTCTCCAGCAGCCTCCCCTTTTTCATCCCTCAGGCCCTGTCCTCAGCTGGAGACTCCCCTGGCAGCACCCCTGCTCTCACCGGACAGTGGTAGGGATGACTTCAGCAGCAAGGAGGGTGCTGAGGATGCCAGCAGCTTGGGAGGAGAAGAGGCCAAGGACTGAGAAGGTGGTGATGGCGGCCGCGTTCAGATCTGGAGGACCAGGAGAGGGAGCATGTGAACGGAGGTGGGGAGATCATGCTTGGCCTAATCCCTGCCATCATCCCCTCTGATCCCTAGCCGGGTGGGTCTGGGCATTCACTCATCGGTTGAGGGAACAGACAGGACTGTGCGGCCAGGGGGAGAATTGTGGAAGATCTGGGCAGGGTCTGGTCTGGTTTTGGGAGGCCTGTGCCAGAAGCAGTGGCTGAGCCCGTCTGAGGCACCTCTGCTGGTGCCTTTGCTGAGCCCACACCGTGGGGAAGGGAGGATGCTCACAATCCCACAGGCCCAGCAGGACCAGGGACGCAATGCCAGTGAGGGTCATCGAGAGAAGCAGGATGCCCCGGCGGCCAAATCGGTCCACGGTGACCCCCAGGAAGACGCAGGCCAGGGCAGCCGTGCCGCTGGCCAGCAAGGAGCACAGGTAGAAGTCCGATGGGCTCCCTCCTCCTCCCACAGGCTGGTAGCAGTGGCGAATGGCGTGGGCAATAAAGCTGTGAGACAGGGTGGGGAGGCGAAGAAAGGTGTCTGAATCTCCATCTGCAGCCTTTCACAGCCCTGGCTGGCCTCTGTAGGGGTCCTCAGGCTTTCCCCACCCGGCCAGCCCCCATCCCAGCTACTGGCCTGGCCCTTGGCTCAGACACCCAGGCTCACTTGGTGAATCCCAGGATAAGTAGATTTTTCCAGATGTTGCGGTAGTTGAGGAGGGAAGCGAAGGAAAAGGAGGATGTTGCAGGGAGAGGGCAGGAGTTCTCCAGGTCTTGGGAGACAGAGAGGAGCTGTCTGTTAGAAGGAACAGCTGAGAACCCAGGGTCCTCCCACACGGGTGGTAGGGACCCTGGGAGAAGGTGGTACACCTACAACAGAGGGCACCATCATGTGTGCACACTGAGGTATCACCTGTAGGGACCCCTGTCTCTTACCCTGCAGGGCCTCCTGGGCCTCCTCTCCCAGCATCTGCCCATGGGGCCGGTTCCGCTCAGCCAGTATCCTCAGCACAGACTGGGCCTCCTCAATCTGTCGCTTCACTATCAGCCACCGTGCAGACTCCAGAAACAGACCAGGCCAGCTGGAGGTGGGGTGGGGGGTACACTGTGAGGCCTCCTGAATCCTGACCCAGGGACGGAAAACTCCCACCTCTGAGGGGCTGGGGCTGGAGCAGGCCTGGACAAGGGGCAATGGAGAAGAGGAGGGGTCTCCAGGCTAGAAATAGGCTGGAGGTAGAGATGGGAACGGCCAGACAACAGATGGAGGGTGATACTGACCCATAAAACAGGAAGAGGATGCAGGGAGCGGTGATCATTCGCTGCAGAAATCGCCAGTCCTTAGAGACAAGGGCCAGGCCCAGGAACAGGAAGTGCCCCCCTACCCCCACCAACTCCCCTGCCAGGGCCACCCGAAGCCTCTGGGTTGGGTCGCACAGCTCCAGGCCTGGAGATACAGCAGGGACAGGGAAGAGAGGCCAGGGAGGAAGGAGGCGAGGGAGAGAAGAGGGGAGAGGGAGGGAGGAGGACAGAGAGCAAGGTCAGCCCCTAAGTGGAGGCTGCAGCCATCGCCTCCCACAGGCCAACCGCTAAGGCAAAGAGTGGAGAGTTGTTCAGTTCTCTCTCCTCTCCCACTCAAACCTGGGAGGGCTCGAGGGTCAGAGTCCCTGGTGGGTTTTCAGCATTCCCAAATTATGGGCCCTTTCACACCAGACCTCTTATTTGACTTTCACATTAACCCTTGTTCAAGGTCATACAGCTACTCAGGATTTCATTTTTAAAATAAGGCTCATTCCCTGACAGCAGTAAGTCCAGAGCAAGGAAAGCCTTAAAGATCATGGGAGGAGAGGGGTGTGGAGAGAAGGAATACCCCTGGATCCTTCAAAGGCCTGGGCAGAAAGACAGCTGAGATTCCAGACAGCTGAAATCTGGGGCTGAAGAAGGGACTGAGGGGATCTTAGGGAGCAGTAGGAATGGCCTGGGGATACAGACAGGCCGGCATGCGTCCCTAGGGAAGGAGCTCTGGGGGGATGCCACTCACGCATCAGGTAGACACCAAGGTCAACGCCGGCAAGCAGAAAGCCCAGGAGGAATCGGAGTGCCATGACACCTGTGGAGGAGCCTGCAGCAGCCCCTCCCACTCCACAGGGGCCCACCAGTCCCAAGGTCAGCAACACAATCCCACGACGGCCAAACCTGGAAAGCAGGGAGAGCCTCTGATCACCCAGACTCCCTGGGGGAGGAGTTGCTAGGTGGGGCCCAGCTGCCCACTTCAAAGCTGGAGGTATGAGGATGAGGCCCTGGAGTGAGGCTAGAGAAGATGGGAGAGGATGGGGACCATGGTTGGCTACTGGGCACTGGGGCGAGGCTATGGTTCTGTGGGGGTAGGACCATTGACTCTTGGGATGGGGCTGTTGGTCAGAGATGAGGGCATTTCTTCACGGAAGTGAGACCAACCATCAGAATGGATGGGATATTGCTTAGGGGACTTGGAACCATTGGTCCTTGGGCAGAGAGCTATTGGTCAGTGGGGATGGAGCTTGTCTTGCTCAGACTGGTCAGAGGAGATGGGGTCATTGATATATGGGGTTGGAGGTATTGATCTATGGAGGTAGGCCATTGGCCACTTGTCCATGGGGATAATATTGGTCAATGAAAATGGAGCTCTTGATCTTAGGAGACTGAGTAATTGATTTTGGGGGATGAAGCCATTTTTCCGTGGGTTGGGGCATGGGTCTACTAATCCATAGGGGTGGTCAGTGGGGATGGGGCCACTGACCAGAAGATGGAGCCATTGATCCATGGGAATGGAGCTCTTAATCTATGGGATAGGACCATTGATCAGCAGGGATGATCACTAATCTTTGAAGACTGGACCGTTGATCTTTGGGGATGGAGCTATTGATTCATGGGATAGGGATCTCAGTCCATGTGGATGCGACAGTTGGCCAGTAGGGATGAATCTATTAATCCATAGGAATAATCAGTAAGGATGGGGTCACAGACCAGAGGAGATGAGACAACTGGTCAATGATGATGGTCACTGACTATAAGTCAGTGAGGACAGGGCTACTGAAGGCTAGGCTATTGACTTTGGGGGATAAGACCACTGGTCTATGGGGATGTGGACTGGGGTCACTGGTCATTGGGAAGGGGGCACCGATAGCCTGAGAGTGAAGCTACTGACCCAATAGGGTGGAGCCATTTTTCCATGGGGCTAAGCTTATTGGCTAAGGTTACTGAATTTAGGAGACTGAATTATTGGTCTTTGAGGATGAGGTTATTATTCCACAGGAATGATGTTACTGGTCTGTGGGTATGAGGCCACTGATGCATAAGGAGGGGCTATTGACCTATGGGTTTAGGATCATTTGCCCACAGGGGTGTGTGACTATCGGGCAGTGAGGATAGGCATTGATTTTAGGGAACTGGATTATTCAATGTTGGGCTGCCTTTGATCCATGGGAGTTGAACTATAAATCCATTTGGATGAGACTGTAGACCAGTGGAGATGAGTTTAATAATCCACAGGGATGGTCAGTGGAGATGGAGTACCTGGTCAGTGGTGATGGTGTCGAGGATCAGAGGAGATGGGAGTTTTGACCCCTGGGAAGAGCTATTGGTTGGTGGGGATGGGTTGTTGATCTTTGAGATGAGGCCACTGATTCCTGGAAATGGGGCTTTTGATCTGAGAGGACCTGAGAGCACTGAAGATCCATGAGGATGGGGCTGTTAGTCTTGGGGGAGGGGTGCTATTGTGGTCACTGATCCATGGGGGTTGAACTATTGACCCCCATGAGGGTAGTCATTTGTTTATAGAGTTGAGCTATTGGTCAGTGTGAATGGAGCTGTTGATATTTAGAAATTAACATAATGAGCTTTAGGAATGAGGCCTTTGAGATGGAGTTAACAGTCCAGGTGGATAGGCCTGTTAGCAAGGAGGAGTCTATCAATCCATGATGATGGTGAGGGAGGTACTTGGTGGTGATAGGGATGATAGAGAAGTTAGGACTTTCGATCTGTGGATATAGGGGTTTTGGTCAGTAGGGATGGGGCTATTGTCTTTTGAGATGAGGCCACTGATCCATAGATCTAGGGGTTGGCAAGGAAGGAAGGGTTATTCCCTGTGTGGAAGAGGTATGGAAGGAGTATCTCTTGATGGGGAGTGAAGCTGAGACAGGGGTGGGGCTGCATATCATTGAACAGAAGAAATCCAGAGAACACTGCAGAGTCCACCGAGTCCCCTTCAGCCTCTTGCCAAGGCAAGCTGCCTGGGCCAGCCTCCCTAGCACCCCCTCCTCTCTACTCGACCAGCCCTCACCTGTCTGCCGGGTAGCCCAGGAACAGGTAGCCAGAGGCAAAGCCCAGGATGAAGAGGATCTGCTCCAGGATCACCTGCCAGCCCAGGTCACACACCAGATCCCACTAGAGACGTGAGAGGGACGGAACGGGTGTGAGGCCCCTCGCTGGTCGCTCTCGGCCCGCCCCCAAACCCGCGGCCCACCAGGCTACCTCACCTGGCCGATGGCGTTGGTGGTGAGCACGGGGAGGCCGCTATAGTCCCAGTCCTTGAGGCAGTGGTTGAAGTCCGGCGGGGCGAAGCCGCTGCACGAGGGGTCCGTACTGGTGGCGATGCGGCTGGCGGCGCTGGCTGCTAGGGCGGCGCTGGCGACGCTGACGCCGCTGGCGTTGGGGGGCTGCTCCCAGCCAGAGGCGTTGGGGGCGAAGGCCCCGTAGTGGCAATGCAGCGGGGGCGCCAGCGTGAAGATGGGGTCCGAGGCCATGCCCAGCGCCACAAAGAGCACGGGCAGGCAGCAGAGGCCGAGCTGCAGCTGCTGGCCGCCGCCCAGCGCCCCCACCTGGGCGAGCAGCGCCTCGAAGCTGAGGGGGCCGGGGGGCACGGCCAGCGACAGGCTGCTGCCCATCCCGTCGCCACCCGCGTCGCCCTCCCCACCCCGCTCGCGTTCGCGCTCCCGCTCACCCTGCAGCTGCTCCGTGGGCACCGCATCTCCGAGGGTCCCGACCTGCTGTGTGTGGGGGTGAGGTAAGGGGTTTGTGGGGTGGTGGCAGGAGAAGGGTGAAGCGGAGAAAACCGCAGAGTAAGGGAAGAGGCCGGGACCAGCGGGAGGAAGGCGGGCGGCGGAGGAGGGGGCGCAGGAGGAAAATGCCGGGCGCTTGGCGGGGGTGCGGGGAGATGATGGCGTAGCCCCCAGGGCGCGGGCACTTACTCCATTGGGGCTGGGGGTGATCTCTACAGTGCTGTCGATTTTGCTGCCGCCCCCGCCATTGGGCTCGGGGGTCCCGGTGGCCACCCGGGGAGCCAGCTTGCCGACCGCAGGGGCCCTGGCGGCCCGCACCGAAAGGATGCACTGCCCTCTGGCCCAGTGGCGCGCCCGGTGCCCGACACAGAAGCCGGAGAGACCCTGCTCTGCAGCTCCGCAGCCGCGGGCGCCTCCCTCGTCTCTGCGATCTCCGCGCGGCTTTCCCCTCCCCTTCCTCCAGACTCTCCTCCCCTTCCCACGTCAGCAGAACCTTCGGTCCAGACTCTTCGTCAGAGAGAGGAAGGGGGGCCAGGGCCCAGCGGAGGGAGAGGATGGGGCTCTGTCTCCGTTCCCTGGGTCTGCGGACCATTGCGGTATAAAGGGGAAAAAAAAAAAAAAAAAAAAAAAAGACCCTGAAGGGTAGTAGATCCCAGGCAGATGCCAGCAATTCCTCCTTTGCTTCCAATTCTTCCTTCTCATCTACCCATCCATCCACCTACCCACCCACCCATCCATCCATCCACTCGTTCATCAGTAAAAGTTATTAAGTGTCTGCTATGTTCTGGCCTTGTGCTGGGCTTTGGGGATAACAGGATGGACAAGACCGACCTTGGAGTAGCTTACTGAGACAGACGGGTATACTGGAAATGATGACACAGGGCATGCATATGGTGGACCGGGCTGGGCACTGTACTCAGCCTTGGCCTTAGTCCTCTACAAGACCACCTGTCTGGTTTCACCACCCCCTCCCTGGCTGAGTCTCCATCATTTCTCAACAGAATTTGGCACTGTTGGGCACCCCTTCCTCTAACCACTTTTTTCCTTGGCTGCTAAGTCCCACACTCTCCTGGTTTTCTTTCTCTTGCTCCTCTTTTCTCTACTGCAGGCTTCTCCTCCTCCTCCTTGCCATCATTCAGTGTCTGCGATCTTCAGAGGCTTGGTTCTAGGTCCTCCTCTCATCTCACAGTGTTCTTTCCATCTCGGGATCTCACCTGTGCCCACAGCTTTGATCACCTCCAGTATAAACAATACGAGCCATTACAAACCTGATCCCCAGATCTACATTTCCAGTTCCCACCTCTCTTCTGAGCCCCAGACCCATGAAGCCACCTCTTATTTGACCTCTTACCTTGGATGACTCACAGGGATCTCAAACTCAATACATCCAAGACCAAATTCATGTTTCCCCCCAACCCCCCACCACCCTGGTTGTCTTCTAGTTCTTCTTTCCTCACTGAATGGCACCCTCATCATCCAATTGTGGCCAGATGCTCAGCTGACAGCCCTTGGAGCGCCCTCTTCCTTACCCCCATGTCAGATACTTTACAAAATCCTGTCCCATTTTACTTCCTATATAGTTCTCAGATATTCTGCTTCTCTCCAACTCTACCACCACTAGTCAAGCTACCCGTTGTACGGACTGCTTTAGCTTCAATTCTTAACCAGTGTTCTGCATCTGCTTTGTTTCCATCCCTTTTCCCCATCTGTTATTCATAGTGCAGACAGAGTGATGTTTTCAAAATGCAGATCTGGGACTTCCCTGGTGGCACAGTGGTTAAGAATCTGCCTCCCAATGCAGGGGACATGGGTTTGATCCCTGGTCCAGGAAGATCCCACATGCCGGAGCAACTAAGCCCGTGTGCCACAACTACTGAGCCCACGTGCCACAACTACTGAAGCCTGTGTGCCTAGAGCCTGTGCTCCGCAACAAGAGAAGCCACTGCAAGGAGAAGCCTGCACACCACAACGAAGAGGACCCCCCCCCGCTTGCTGCAACTAGAGAAAGCCTGCGCGCAGCAACAAAGACCCCACCTAGCCAAAAAAAAAAAAAAAAGCGTATCTGTTCATGTCCCTTTCCTACTTAACAGCCTTCAATGTCTTCTCACTGTCAAGGTAAATACTAATTTTCTAGATACCTCAAATGTGACCATATGCTCTCTGCAGCTCCACCTCACATCTCTCCCCAAACTCTCTGCGCTCCAGTCACACTGACATCCTTTCAGGTTTTCCAGTGCCTTGCATTAAGCTGGTCTTTACACCTAGAAGGCTTCTCCTCCCCCCTACTCAGAGTGTGATTTACAGACTACCAGCAGCTGTATAACCTGGGAGCTTGTTAGAAATGCAGAATCGCAGCCCTTTGAGTCATAATCTGCATTTTAACCAGATCCCTAGGTGTATGTACATTAAAGTTTGAGATACGCTTCTCTAAGAGATTTGATATCTAATAGGTACTTTATTCTCTAATTCCAGGTAAGGGCTGAAAAGGCATGTCCTATCAGTCTCAGCCAGGAAATCCATTCCCTCTTGTCTCCACTGAACCAATTTGTCTCCTCTGTTCAGAAATTTTCTAAATATGGGAAACTATTCTAACGCAATAAGCAGCCTCACACAACTTTCCCTCCCCCAACTCATTTTAGCATCTCTTCGGGATTTACTTTTGGTGCTGTCACAGCCAACATTCCTTGGGGGTTTGTTTGTGTCCTTGTGTCTGTCCTGGAATTTTAATCCCTTTAACTTTCTGTGGTGCTGGGCTGTTTACATGCATTATCTTGTTAGGGCCTCACAACAAGCCTGTGAGACCATTATGCTCATCCTTATATTAAAGATGAAACCAGGACTTGGAGGGACTGACGGGATTTACCTGCAGACATATAGGTACATGGAAACTTGCACTGAGACCTCTGACTCTAATTCCAGGCTGATCTCTTGAAATTCTTTCTGGAAGGTGATGGAGGATGGCCCCTGTTACAAGTCTTCAACACCTGGGGTAAATTTTGGTGGCCTCAGAATCTGAAAATGAGTTTCCTTTTGAGAGTGAAATGAGAACAAAGAGCCCCAAATGGAGGAGGCAAAGGCATGGGGAAACGGGCCAAGGGACTAAGAGTGTGATTGAATTTTGGGGTGCCTCCAACCCAGTCACTGTGCCAGAGTAGCATCTTGGGAAAGCGGAACTGAAGCAATGGATCTGTGGCTTGGACTACAGAGTGATCCCCTATCTAAGCCATGGCCCGTTAATTTCACCAAAGCCCCGTGGACTATGGACTTTCAACGCATTAAATTCACTGGCCCCTCAGCTCCTCTAAAAGATGGTGTGTCCACAAGGACAGTCAGGAAGCCTGGAAAGGGGAGTTTAAGGGGCTAGACCTTCTTGGGTTAACTGAAGGGAGAGGGCGCCCAGGCCAGCAGCACTCTCCAGTTGGCCAGAGCTGAGGACAGCTGGGGTGACCTCTTCAGCATGGCACCGTGAAGGCTCTCTTGTGGCCACCCTCTCCACATGTGCACCTCTCTAATGACATCATTTGACATTGGTCTTGGAGGTCTTGGAGGAGAGGCCTTGGTCACAAATCAGGGCCTGCCTTCCTGGTATGCCGCGTCGCAGACTCTTCTTGGTTCTCTCATCCTCCCAGTCTCAGCACAGATACCACCTCACCTCCCCAGCAATTCTGTCTAAAGTCTCCAATGGCCTCTCTCCTCATCTAGTTGGTCTGGCATATCACCCTGTTTATTTCCATCACCAGCAACTGTCAACTTTGTGGCAGGTTTCTTTCTTTACTTGCTTCTTTTAGCTGACTCGTTTATATCAAGCCCACCCCCATGATGTACCTTCAGAACAGCGCCTGGCACATCACATGGGAGCGGAGAACCTGCCAGATGAATAGTTGTTGAAGAAACAGCAAAATTTCCCCCAAAACCCTAAAGGCAGCCTGCCCACAGCGTGCGTCTCATCGTTTTGGCCAAGGGTGCCAGGCCCACTCCCCAGGCTCCCAAGAAGCAGAGTCAGGGAACCAGACAGCCTGGTTTATTGAGATGCACCAGCGCTCAAGGCCCAGCTCTCCTGTCTCCTGTGGGGAGGAGCCCTCTGGCCTCTCCCAGGCCTTCCCGTTCTGGGTGGCCAACGTCCTGCCCTCACTCTCAGCTAACAGTGAGGCACTGATGTTCTAGAGCCAAGACACAGGACAGGAAAGGGGCTCCGGGTGGGCCCTTCCCCCAGAATCTGAAAATGATTCAGGTTTCAGCTACCTGAACCTCTGTGGGGCCGAAATCCCAGAGGCAGGCGGCCACGCGGTGCCCAAGAACCTCTGCGTCAGGCTGAGGGAGGAGGAAGGTCCAGTTCCTCCTTGCCCTGGAGGGCCTGGCGCCTGCCCCTGACAAAGCAGGGAATAATATTAAATATAAATAATTTATACAAAATGGCTCGTACAAAAAGCTGCGGGGTAGGGGAGGAGGTGCCTCCGTGAGAGGCTGAGATGACTGGGGGTGGGGAGGGGGAGAGATGCCTCCACCTCTCCTAGTCCCTAAAACAGAGCCCTCCAGCTGCCCAAGGCCTTGAGGGGGCTCTGGCAGGCAGGCGAGGGCAGAGCAGGGCCAAGGGGCTCAGGGGGCCAGGCTGGTGAGCAGGGTGGTAAATTGCAGGGCCCGCCCTGCCAGCTCCGCCACACACTGCACCATCTCTTGGGCCGCGGGGCCGGACGGGTAGCCCAGGGCGGCCCCCTTGACGGCCAGCACCGTGGCCCGCAATGCCTGGCCCAGCGCTGTGCCCGCAGCTCCGACCTGTGCTCGCAGAGGGGTGGAGGCTGCCAGGCGGCCCAGGGTGTCCCCAACAAACACCAGGCGGTGAGCAGCCACCAGCACCTGCTTGCCGTGGGGCACGAAGAGGCGCGGGGGCTGGTTGGCCCGGGTGCTGGACATCAGGGCCGCCACGGCTGCCTGCAGTGTTGAGTAGTGGCCCTGGCACTGCCCGGCGTAGAAATGCAGGAGCTGTAGATCTCCGGCGGGAAGAACCAGTGGCTCCCCTGGGGACGGGGCCTCCTGCGGGCGGGCGAGAAGAGTGGTCAGTGGGATTGCTCTCACTACTGCCGCTTTTGTTCTCATTTCCTTTCTCCTTCCCTCCCTTTGTTCCTTATTCCTTCCTTTCTCCCTGAACTCAATTCCTTTAGATCGTACCTCTGCCCATCAGACAATTTAGACTCTCATAGCGAGTGGCAGGAAGGTACCCAGAATTGATGTCAGATAAATCTGGATACAAACAACCTCAAAAACAAGTCTCTGAACTTCATTGTTTCCTTGTCTCTAAAACGGAGAGCCTAGGACTGCACTGTCCAGTGTAAACGTAAGGCAAACCACCCATGTAATTTCAAATTTTCTAGTAGCCACATTAAGAAAAGTACAAAGAAATTGGTACATGTTTTCTAACTCCATATATTAAAAATGTTGCAATTTCAACACTGTAATCAATACGAAAATTATTGAGATTGTTTTTCACACTAAATCTGCAAAATCTGGTGTGCACTTTATATTTACAGTACATTTCAGTTTGGATAGGTCACATTTGGAGGGATCGGTAGCCGCATGTCGCTGGTGGCTACCAGACTGGGTAGTGCAGCTCTCGTCTCTGCCTCCTAAGGCTGCAGTGAAGATTAGCTGATACGACGTACAGAAAGGTCTGAGAACAGAGAATTGCACACTGTAAGCACTATGTGAGTGCTAACTATGGCCGTGATCAGTGCTGACGCACGTGATGTGCTGAGCACAGGGTCTGGCACTTGGTACAAACCTGACAAATGGTAGCTATTGTGATTAGGACCATTCTAGATCAGGTCGAGGAGACCATCTCACTTTCCCGAGGCCCAGAGAGATTAACTGGCGGCTTCAGAGCCCCTGGCTTCTTAGTGGTGGAGCTGGGATTAGGAGCCGGGTCTCTTAGGAACCCAGGAATTCACAGTTGGAAGGGGCCTCAGAAGTCACCCGGCCCAGCAGCTCTTCTGCTCCCCTGACTGCTCACTTTTCTAACTTCTCTTTCCTCTCTTTCCGAATCCCTGATATCCTTTTCTTTTTTTTTTTTTTTG